AATAAATTACAACTCTTTTATTACTTACGTTGTGAGTACTTGTGTGGCTTTAGGTGGAGCTCTGCTGACTTGTGATGGACGTTTGTGTTAATTTTGACATTTGTGGTGATTAAATTTTATTCTGACAATGTGAGATCCAACTAAAGTTTTGCTGGTAAAGAAAAGTGGGAAACCAAAGTGCGACCGCTGTGTCGGGTTTGTTTACTTGCAGAAAGCAGCTGCAGACGTCCTGCAGGGTTCGTACTCGTCGTGCTGTTGAACGCAGTACGACCCGGCGTCTGTAATTAAAGGGCGTCTCACTGCGGCGCTGCTTGTTTTTGCTGCTGTGTGTCTGTTTTTCCGTCTGAATTGTTGAACTGTGGCTGCAGTCGACTCTGCATCGACAACAATAACATCCGAGTTCACTGCTGCGCCTCCTGTTGGTTCTGTATGAACCAGCAGAATCTGCTCCCCGTAATGGTACTGTAGTCATTTAAAACACAAGAGATTTAGCTAAGGGGGAAACTGTTGACCTTGGTGTGTCACAAACTGGCTCAAAGAAAGTGAAACGTGCACCGTAAAAACAAAGTCCTGTAAAAATAAAACAAACGAAAACATCCAAATACTGTAGACATTAAAAAAGTTGAAAATAATGACAAATATCTGTGAAATAATGTGTTTTTATCTGTTTTAAATCAGATTTGAATCCTGATTTTAAACAGCTGTAGTTTGCTGTTCTCTGACTCGTTACAGTTTTTTCTTCTTTACAGTCGACGTGTGAGCAGCATTTTAGTGATTTTACTAGATATAGTTTGCAATTTAACAAAACAGGGAAAAACTGTAAAATGTCATAAACTACTAGTTCATTAATATACAGGATTTTTCTGTGGTTTGAGGTTCAGTCTGGGACAAAATTGTTCCAAGAGGAGGCTTTAAATAAATTAAAATATAAAAAAACAAGGTTAAAAGTGTTGAAAAAACAGCAAATATCTGTGAAATAATAATGTTTTTAGCTTATTTAAATACAGTAAAATAAAAATTCTGGTCACGTATTGCAAAAGAACTAAATATTGTTGGTGAAAATACAGATTTATTTTTTAAATGTGAATGTTATTTGCTATTTTGGACATTTTTTTTTTACAATCAACAGGTAAATGATTACTTTTTATTAT